GCCCTCATATCGCTTCATTCACGTGTACCTCGACTTGGTCGAGCCATTGCCGCCTCTAATATTCCTATATTCTTACTTGCATTGATCGATTTACTCGCTGGCCCGAAGCCGTTCCTTTGGTAGATAATACAGCTGATACCGTGGCAAAGGCATTTTACACCGTTTGGATTTCTCGCATTGGAATTCCGAAGCAGATTTCTACTGTTCAGGGGCGTCAGTTCGAGTCCCAACTCTTCACGTCTCTAAGTATTTGGACACTTACAAAGTGAGAACCAGTCCCTTCCATCCAAGTTCCAATGGAATTGTCGAGAGATTTCATAGCTCCTTAAAACAATCATTTCGATGCCTCACTGCATTACAGTGGACTGATATGTTACCTACTGTACTTCTAGGTCTTCGATCAGCGTTAAAAGAGGATCTGGATGCCTCTTCTGCAGAAATGGTATATGGTACTAATCTCCGTATGCCTGGGTGGGGATCTCGTACATTCAGTCAATCCATTTACCTGCAATGTAGATCCTGTTACATTCGTACATCAGCTTAGAAACTGCATGTCAAAATTGCGACCAGTTTCTGCCAGCGCTCATTGCAAACAAACTGTGTTCGTGCATAAAGAACTTAGAAACTCATCTCATGTTTTTCTGTTATGCTTCAAAGCCTTCTCTCGCATCACTGTTTTCAGGGTCACATCAAGTGCTAGCTCGAAACGAAAAAACTTTTAAAATTTTGGTCAACGAAAAAGAAGTGGTCGTTAGTATCGACTGTCTTAAACCGGCATTTATCTGGACACCAGAAGCCACTGGAGCGAATGCGTCTTCACCATCGCAAATTCCATCTCAAGGTCCCATTTCCAACGGACTTCAGTGCAAGCTGTTCCAAGCCTTCGACCGAAACCACAACTTCCGGTGGTTCACTATTTCTAACTATCAGATGCTAAGACAAGAACACGCTCGGGCCGTCGAGTTCGCATCAATCCAAAGTATTTGTAAAGTATCGTTAGCACTGGAGGGGGAGTATTGTGGCGACCTGCCTACTACAATTCAAGGCTGCCAGTCTGGTAACTCATAGCAACGAAAAACAAAATAACGTTTATTCTATTGTTAATATTATTAGCGATTTGTTTTTGTTATCATAGTTGCTTGTCCAGCTGCGCTTTATTTATTATTGTTCAAAACGGCTTATTATACATATTAAGTTATTTTTTTATTATTATGTTAAAAGCAGAGTGTAATTATCTGTCTCAAAAATTGTACTACCATAATGCTGACACATCTGTTAGTAATGCTGGGAACTGAGATCTATGAGGCCTGAATTTTAAGAGTGGTAAATCTTATCGAACCTTGCTTATCGAACTGAGGTCTGATGTCTAAAATTCAGATATCTTTTCGCCAGTACAAAATGTCACTCTCCCATTAGCAGTCAATATTTAGATCTGTTTCCTGGTTCGAATGTTGATTGGTCTCTTAGTCCACGAAATAGCTGTGGAGGACTCTTAAGATCCAAAAGATGGGCTTTGCCTGCTTTCTCTCTCTCATCCATTAGGTGGGATTTGTAATTGATCCTTGACAGTTCATCTCTGGTAGCCATCAGTGAAACATCAAATTGACCTCATCCATGTCGCGCAATACCAACTGACTTTCCTGCGGATTAGCATGTTGGCTACGAAGATGGATTCATGCTTCTAGTTATTCTTTGATGAACGACTTACATCTGATGGTTATTTATGTTATCTGTGTACATATGCTTAACTAACATATTTTCTAATATAGTTAAAGCAGTGGACATAAAAAATAGGTTTCTATCTATCCTTGCAGTTATGCACATTCCTACAAAATGACGACTGTGCGATCTGTATTATGGTAAAATCAACACCGACACTAGTAGAGTCGGTGTTGGTAAAATACGCTACAACCATGATATTGCCAAGCAGATTTTTTTTGTTCTGTTTCTTCAATATTATGAACGTTATTGCAAGTTTTTCTAACGTTATCGAGAAAAAAATAGTTATGGCTTGATAGAAAGTTTTGATCCGTATAGAAACAGCGGGAAATTTTCCTGAATTTATGAGTTTTGGGAATAAAGATTGTAAAACAAGAATTACTTTAGAACAATATATGTTTCCCAACTTCAATTCATTACTTAAGTGTTTCATGCGCTTTTATATTTATCAGCAACAAATGAAATAATATTTTCAGTAACAATCGAAATAAAATTAGAAATTAACTACAGATTCTGTTAATTAAAAATTCTTCTGTCAATGAAAAATTAAAGCGTTTATCAGCTTCAGATATCCCTATATTTCAGGAATTTGTTGATATAGTAAAAACTGCTTTTATATATATATATATAGTAAAAGTGGCTAAATATAAGGTATAAATATATTTAGTATTTAAAGTAAGTAAGAGCAGCTTTCTAATTTAAATAGTATATCAGATCACTGAAAATTTAATTTTACATTAATTTTAGCTCTAAGACGAACATGTCTCTGCGCTACTAGTCGGACAAATTTAGCATTCTTATCATGTATGAGCTAACTGTCCGATGTCGAATGTGTAGATACTTCGTTAAAATTACATAATAAATGTTACAATAACGGTTATTACATACGGTTAAGCGATATATTTTAACTTGAACTCATGATGATGTTCTAACTCATATTTTTATAGATAAATTATAGCACTGTTATGTGACTGGACCCCCAAAATTTATATTTTATTATTAATTTTCCCCCATCTTCACATCTATTCAGCTTTACAAAACACATTCATTACACACACCTGGAAGACTCTATTTAATGTAAATGATAACAACTTCCTTTGACTACAATCATGGACACAATTTTTTTTTTTTACAAAATTCTCTTACTTCTTTTCCTTTTCTTTCTATAGACCCTTTTTTTTAATTATAAATATAATTTTTTTTCCCTCTCCATTACTTTTGGGCCATTTATTTTTTACTTTATTTTGTCCCATCTTTTCTTCCTGGCCTTTCGAACTCGTATAAAATATACGAAGTTCCTTTTTACTCTCCTCTGAAATACGAAATTGCCCCCCTTTTTATATACCTTTCCTTCGCACCTATGCTTGATTTTTCGCCCATCGGTGCAGAAAGACTTAGCGGGTGCAACAAAAGACATCTGTCTGTCAGATAAACTATAGCAAGTTTCAACTATTTTTTTTCCCTTCCCTGCATGTTTTAGTTTTGGGATTTTACATACATCTGAGTTCATTTATAATTTAAGATGTAATGCAATAAAATTTTTGAAGTGGAGAAAAACGAAATCGAAATTTCTTTTTCTCCCTAGCATTCTATTCCTCACATGATATTTACTTCCGTTGGCATATTTAAATGTCGCCTATATCCTTAAAGGAGCCAAGTTGGCGCAACCAAGGCTGTTCTCCGAACCTTATCTGAAAATTTAGTAATTATTTCCAGATTTAGTACCAGCCTTGATGCCAAACGAGGGGACTTTTAATACTAATTTAACTGCATAACAGAACCAGTTAGCAATTAGTTATACCCCCACCCACTCACACACACACCCACACAAAAAAAAAACTTTGCCTTAATCTAGATTTCCTCATATATTCTCTCCTTCTGTCTGGCTACTATTCCTTACACGATATTTACTTATGTCGACATAATAAAATGACGCCAAAAGGAGCCAAATTGTCGCAACCAAGGACAGTACTCAATTTTGTTTATATTAATTAGTAACAAACATTTGTTTTCGACTGTCAGCCTGATTTGCAGCCAGTAAGCGTTAGTTAACTCGTCGAAGGACCGGTGACCGTAGCGCTCACATTACGGCTTTCTAGTCTGTTAGAGCCAAGGAGGTTAGAATAGAAGGAGGGAGGGTTCGCAGTTTCCTCCACTATCGGGGAATGAAACTCCGCCGAACAAGCGGCGTCCATGTTTGTGACTTCAAAACATTGCATTACGGCAGTGTTTCTAAGCTGTACAGTAAGTGTTTCTAAGCTTGTTCCGTGCATTTATTTTCCAGTAAAAATATGTTAAATTTATAATGAAATCCCTCGCTATTGTTGAATTTTTTGTTTTAAAGTAATAAAGATGATATCCATAATTTACTATGTACAGCAAATTATTAAGAAATAGTTCGAAAACTAAATGCATGCGCATAACATTAAAGCCCTTTAAAAAATGAGTTTCTGCATATTTCACGGATTTGCTTAGGTTAGAAAATAAATCTTAATAAAATAAAACAGATTTATGTGAATTCATTGATTTCATTTTATGCGCATTTCATATTTATAATCTCAAAGAAACTGCCTTTAATTAAGTTGAATTACAGAAATACACCTATATAAGTTTTTGGATACATCTTTCCACATTCAATTGTGTAAATATTTTACTTAATTTTATCACTATACTGCCCAGAAATTTGTAAGTTTATGCAAAAAAATTTTTAACAACAGAAAGTTTATCTTAACTTAAAAAAATGGAATAATAATTAATATATAAAGAAAAGCATTGCTTTATTTAACACCTTTACAATTAATAAAAATAGTAACAATGATTTCTTACTTTTCATGAAAGTTATAAAACGAATTAACTCAAACGTTCAAATTATCCATTTTAAATCCTACATATGCATTTGTATCTTAAGGAACGAAGATACCCAGCTATAAAACAGAAACATTAAAATTATTTAATATATTTTGATTATGTTATTAAATAACTATTTTAAGTCCTTTTTTCACACTGGAAAGAAACCACATGACATGTGATATTTTTTGACATAGTTGTAATATTAATAACAAAAGAAAATTAAACTTAGTGGAAATAATGCCGGAATTTTTTTGAGAATCTCTTGTGCATCAATGCATACAAGCTGACGTTAAAAAGAAAAGAAAAAATGTTGCAATTGACGAATTCCTCAAAGTCACGGTGATAACAGGAAGATGGCCGCCAAGCTTCACCGTTTGAGTTGAACCTTCCCTCCTTCTATTCTAACCTCCTTGGTTAGAGCAGGATCATAACAACTAAGTTCATGAGTAACTTATTCCTTTAATTTACGTTGTGTGGCGCAGGGACTGTGAGCGGACTCTTGTAATTGTTATTTGTTATAAAATGCCGTCAGCTATGGAGTAAGTTTTACGTATTTCCTGTAGTAATCTGCAGTTAGTGTATCTATAGCTGCCCTTTATTATCAGTATCATTTTTATAACATTTATGAATTTGAGCTATATATTTATTTTTTCTGTTGTTACTTTTTCACAATATGGAAAATGCTTCATGTTAATTATTAATGCTTATTTTATGTGTAATGTAATATACGAGTGTGTTGTAACCGTTCTGTCCGATAGTTATATATATTATATTTTATGTATGTTATTAAGGTGACTATACGTCCCGAATTTACACTCCTTGTCCCGATTTTTTACAAACCGAATTTATAGCATTTTTCTCGAAAAATTATAGTGTGAAACTGTAAAAGTTTAAAAGCTTATATTTATTTAAGTAATTTAGATTGCAAGCTGAGAATACAAGCGTAAGTCAAGAAAGGCGTCGTAATTAATTCGATTTACTTCAACTTGAAACATTTTTTTTTTTTTTTAATTTACTTTTAATAATGTAAGAAAGTAAAGTAACATACACTAGCTTAACAAAAAGTTAACATACATTAGCCTTTTGTTAATTTCATTTTTCATAACATACCATTCATTTCTGGCAGTGCTTCAAGAATTTATCTTTGGAGTAGTAAGTACTAAGTGTTGTTGACTTACAAAAAAATCCCCAAAAGAACTAAAGCTGTTCCAGTTAGGTTTGTAGTTTCTAAAAATTTTGAAAGACAGACTAAAATCTGAACCGTGGTAGTTTGACCTGGTTTTGAATGCTGGCAAATGAGCTATTTGTAGTTTGTTTTTCTTGTATGTAATGTAAATATGAGCCATTTTTCTTTTTAGATTTCTGAAGTCATCTTTTATCTTTACGAAAGTAGTCCTTGCAGGCTTTGTCTTAATTAAGGAACCTCGGTAAAATCTGAAATCTAACCTAAATATACCTAAGAATAATATTTGGCAACTACTGTATCTAATGATAAATAATGAAAATATTTGGCAGGTTATGTATCTAATAAATTTTGAGCAGATTACTAGAGAATGGTGTCCAGTCATAAAGTTGCTGGTATCTTTAGTCAGGCTGGAGTTTGAAAATTCTTATTAAAGATATGTAATAGTAACTTTATAAAGGAACTAAGGAAGAAAAAATCATGGAAAGATCTTCAAATCTCTTGTATTGTTAGAGGTCAAATTTGGATTGAAAGAAGAAAGGGACTAGAATGGCATTCCATCCTTGCAGTGTTTTATATTTCAGAGAAAAAAATTAGTCTTTTCTTATAGAGTGGCATTTCTTGAATGTGTTTCGAATGAGGACTTTTTTAAAATTAAAATGCTCTGCGGACCATCTTACTTACCCTTGTCCCCTTCGAAAACATTTTTTTTTTTAACATTTGTTACTACCAGTATATTTTTAAAATACAGATAAAATTAATTTACTTTTATATTAGTATTAATTAACGTAATATACTACAAAGTCCAAGATCCAGAATCTTTGGGACCTCAGCAATTCTGGATTTTACATCATCAGTTTAAATCTAGTAAGATGACATGTAGCACAGCAGCACTGGGGCTTAGCTTATTGTTTAGTTCAGATAGAAAATTGCTAACTTCTCAACAGGGTCAGCCAATGCAGGCACACTAGGTGGCAGGATTCAGGATGACAAAGAATTCAGAATTTATAGGATCATCAAGCAATGAAAATTAGGGATGCAAACGTAAAATTTAGAGCAGATAAAATTTTTAGAATTTAGTGAGGTACTGGACAACAGAGTTTAGGATCTGCAGAGCCATCAAGCGACAGGCAATTAGCTGTTGCCCTTCCCACAAGCACTCAAGAGAGCCAAAAGGGGGATCCTGGACAACATCGATACAATGCCAATCACCATATTGTTACTGCCTGCAGTGCAACTCTGTTGATAGCAAGGCTTTAAAGTGACATGCAGGAATATCGATTGATCTAGAGCCTAAATTCTGCGAGAGGGAAATTTCTTCATTATTTTTACTTGTACGAAGTAAAAGAAGTACAGTCAAAAGTCGTTAATTTGGACACCCATAATCCGGAATGATCTATAATCCGGACCTCAAAGCTGAAAACTTTCTGCGCATGTGCCGCGTTGACACATGTGCATAGGCATTTACGTGTGTGCGTACGACCTTTTACAACTGCGCATATGCGTGTGCGCAAGCGCAGAATACGTTTTTGCGCGCGCATTTTATGTATAACGGACGGTATAAGCTAAAATTATCTAATTATCTATTCAGTAATGTGATGATGCGTTGTTCTTAATCTTCGATTGGATCCGGCTTATTATTTTTGCAGACTGTAAGGCAATATTATAAAAGTAAACTTGAACTTTGAAATTATGGTCAAATAGAATTTCCGATTCTGGAGCTCCAAAAGGATCGTACAAAACGAAAGTATTTTCGAGTCCATCAAACACAAAGTGGAATTGCTGCACAAAAATGGATAAAGACATGAAGAATGTGTCAGAGAGGTTAGTGAAAACGAAAAATTTCGATTGACAGTCAGTCGGTATTCTCGGCACGCAATTAACGGGACTTGAACGCGGAACTTTGTAAACTGAACAGAAATAATGTCTTGTTCATAGAATTAAAGAGAAAGTATTATTACTAAAACGAACGCCCTTAAACAACTACATTGAAAGAATGTTTAATAAAGTAAAACAAAATAAATATTAAGCTTTTTTGTAAATTTTGATACCCTTTAGATCATAATTGTTCTTTATTCATAAATTACGGTTTCATATTCTTAATTTAGAATTTCTGCATGCCATCTTACGAGATTTAAACTGATGATCTATAATCGGAATCGCCGAAGTCCTGACGAGTCCGGATTAACGACTTTTGACTGTATTATACTCTAAAAAATTTTGGGTATCATTTAAACTGCTCTCAAAACGATTTAAATGATGTTTTTGCGTGACGTCTGTATGTACAGACAGAATAAAGGACTGTTTTTGCCAAAAAGAATTGTAAAATGGATGTTTTCTTGAAGTCTGTATGTATGTATCTTGCATAACTCAAAAACAAGTAGCCCTAGAACATTGATATTTTATATAGCTGTGCACCTCCCTTTTTCATCGCAATCGACTGCCCTAATCTTATATATATTCCCACTCTATTACCAGGCTTGGTAAGCTTGTTTTTTTTTAGTGGCTTTTATTTTCTCATGTAATAGCTTTATAAAGTTATCAACAATTTAAAAGTTTAACCCTCTAGCTATGTACCTTTTTTTTTATCAAAATAGGTTAAAAAATTACATATTTCAAATCTACATATATTTTAGAGTTAAAATAAACAAAAAATTTTTTTAAAAGAGTTTGTTTCAATATAGAATTAGATCATAGAAAAAGGTTGTCAGAATACTGAAATTTAAGAATAATTATATAAAAGGAAAATTTTGAAAATTAATATTGGTTAATTTATGATTTATTTTATAAAATACAAAAGTAAAACATATATACTAATGAAAATATTTGCATCATGTAATATTTTGCATATCAATTTTGCACCATTGTCAAACGTTTTCAATAGAAACTGAATTTTCAGATTCTTCACTATCTGCAGAGGAATCCGAGAAATTCTCATCAGTTTCGCTGTAACTATCTTCAATATACTTGAAATCAGAGTCAGAACTACATCAGGAATATAGGTTATATCACTCGTGAAACACTTCCTGCCAGGCATCTTTGAGTTCTGAAAATCGCGCGCGAAATGCTACATTACCTATTCTTGTATATTTGGCAGAAATGCGGACAACTAACGCCATCTGTTAGCCCACATCTAAATAAACAATTTTGCTACTTTTACGTTGCCTGTGGAAATCGCGGGATGCGCAGCGAGAGGGTTAAGTGGCGAGTTAATCCCAATGATCTGCCATTTGTTTACATTTGAAACTTAATAGAATAGTGAATTAACTCAGTTTCTGCACCTTCCATGTCTTTTTGCCAAGTGCGATCAAAAGTAAACTTTCAGTTTTGTGCACTGAAAAATCTGTGTAGAAACTCTAATTTTTTTTTTTTTTTTTTTTTTAATTTTTTAAAAAAAAATTCTTTTTTAAAGTAACTGTTTCAACTGTATTTGGTGTTTTATATTTTTATGTATTTTACAATTTTTAATGAAGATATTTTGAGTTTTTATATATTTTTACTTTGCCAAAGTGAGAACTGAATGAGAAATGTGTCTCTAATGAAATTTGAGGAACATGCTGCAAAAAATGTGTATAATTTAATGGACCATGCGAGGAAGTCATGTGGTAACATCAGATTTTTTTGGCTAGTGGTCCAGAGGTCTGGATATTGGATTATTCCAGATTTTTGACATCTGGATTTCACACTTTGTACTTTAAAAGAAAGTTAATATTTGTTTTTAATAACTCAATATTAGAGTTGGGGAAGACTTATTAACTAAATTAAAACGTTGGTATTCATATTAATGAAGTGGCCACAAAAAAATGTTGGTGCTCTTATCAATGAGCCTGCTGATTCGTCCATAGCTGTTCTATATTTGGATGTGTGCACTCTAACAGTTCCAGTAAGAAGCACTACAGTCATACTGCTTTAAATTCCACCTTTGTTGCTGAAACTAGAGTGGAAAGTACACAGGTAGCACTGTAGCTGATTATAAATTTAATAAAACGTTAGTCTTGGGGGGGGAATGGGATGGATGATTGCTATGTGTAATTTCCAAATTCTGAGATTTTCAGCTAGAATATGATATACATGTTAGTTTAAATTTTATTTATTTATTGAAAATCTCCTAGATTTTCAAATTGGTTAGGCTTTGAGGAGCACAGTTTGAGAAACACTTTCATAAAGACATCTTTTGTGCCTACTTATCATCTCCTACTGTAGAGTGAATCTTTGATGTTTGCATATTTCTGGTGCATATGTAGTACTTTTCTGTAAGCTCAGTACCCCCACTTTGGGTCTGGTGATGGTTTCTTCCATGAAGTACATCTCAAAATGAGTGAACATCAGGTCTAGAAAAAACTAAACAAGGAACATTTTCCCCTCTTAACGTGAAAACATGACATGTGCTTTGTAGAGTGAATTTGGAGACAATACTGCATTTATATTCTGTAATAAACTCTTTCCCTCTGTTTTAAATCTCTGTGAGTAGTCTTGGCTAGGAATTTTGAAGATAATATGAGTGTACTTGAAATATAAGTACAAAGAATATCTGTCAACAGATTTCCAGCAGCCAGTATACTAGTTAAAGAGTTCAATTCTGAAATATGGAGATTAAGTTTAAAATCTTGTTAGCATATCAGAAAGTTTCCAAATCATGTAAATTCTAGAAAGGAAATATGCTATATTTTAAAGAAGAAATAAATTCAGATTTTTTTCCTCTCTTTTGTATTGATTGCTGTCTCTATTTTCAGATCAAAACCTATTAGTTGGGCAGATCAAGTAGAGCAAGGTGAAGGTAAGAAACAATTCAAAATAAAATATTATGAATTAGAACAAAAATATAATAAGAACTTCAGTAAATGTACCATTTTGAAGTATGACATATTCAACATGAAATACTTTAAAACTACTGTATTATTTGGAAATTTACATAGTAAAAATTATTTAATGTGAAATTAGCACCAAATATTATGTCTTATTTCAGAGGGGAGGAAAAATGCTTAACTAATCCATGAAAGTTTCAGTAAAACTGTATAATGTAATTTTGTTTTAAAGCTTGTATTTTTAATTTTTATTATTCAGTTTGTTAGAGTTGTAAGGTTTGCAGAAACTAAAATATCATAGGCTCTATTTATCATACCATTATGGAATTAGATTAATTTCCTATGGAAAGCCAGGCTGAAAGATGGCTTTTTATGCATATTCACCTAAATGTGTAATTTTAGCCCTAAAATCTCCCCCCCTTTTTTTTTTTTTTTGGTTGGGTCTTTCCCTTGACGGGAGGGCGCGAATGATTTTGGCTGCTGATAATTGCGCCAGTCTTTGTAACCCTACTTTACACTAGATATTCCAGCCGCATAAATCCTTGAACTAAGGGTAATGTGCAGAATTGCCCACTTATATGGTGCATATCGATTTGTACATGGACAAAGTCAAGGGAGTGGGCAATTTGAAGTTTGTGCAATTCTACACTTCCCAGTTTGTCACCAAGGGTGTGGGCTCTCCTCGGATTTTACCTTTTTCTTTTCCTCCCCAAGTCTCACTTTCAACTGGTAATTTTTGTTAGAAGGAAAGTATAAAGTAAGGTTTTTAACTTTTCACTTCCTTGTACGAAGTAAAGCAAGTGTTGTAATCATAAAAAATTTTGGTTATTCAATTTCAATGGAAATATTCATTTTGACTATTTTTTTGTGTGCATTTGTACGTATGGATAGAATAAAGGACTCTTATTCTAAAACATATTGTAAAAAAGATTTTTTCGTAACGTCTGTAGTTACATATGTATCTTGCATAACTCAAAAATGATTTTCTGCAGAAAGATGAAATTTTGTAATATGGGATTGCTATAACATCTAGTTAAAAGAGATTTCTTCATATATGTGTAATGACGGTACTATTCGGTTTCGAGGGCCGTAAAAAATCGCCAAACTATTGTTGATGCTACTGCTGCCAAAAATAATCGCGGCAACCCTAATAATTGCAGCAAGAAAGGAAGTAGTATAATAGTAAATAACTATTTAAGATTGATGTTTTAATTTAGATGAAAGGTTAATTTCATATAATACTTTTTTAATATTATAATTTATATGAAAAAGGCTAAACATGACTGAATGGAAGCATAAGAGTAAATAACTATTTCAGATCATTATTATAATTTATATAAAAATTGCTAAACATAACTGAATGGATGCTGCATCGCTATTTCGCTAACGACTTATCGCTAAAGCATAATTTCATCTCGTTGGTTGTTCAAACGTAATTTTCTATAATGAATGATGTCTTTTCTTTGAAAATATTCTCGGTAATGTGCAGAATCTTTCACTTATTTGTTTGCCGCTTTTTACAAGGGTAAAAACAATTGGATTTTTGTCAATTTTCTCTTTTACTTTTAAGTGAAAATAGGTCGATGTGTACATAGATAAAGTCAAGGGTGTGCGCAGTGCTATTTTTGTGCAATTCTAGGTTTTTTTTTAAATGAAAATAGGTCGATGTGTACATAGATAAAGTCAAGGGTGTGCGCAGTGCCATTTTTGTGCAATTCTAGGATTTTTTTTTAAATGAAAATAGGTCGATGTGCACATGGATACCGAGTATGTGCAGTCCTTAAAAACGCGTCAAGCATTGGGTGATTCTGCACTTTACCCAAGTCATGGGCAATTCCCAAATTTTTAAATCCATAGGATATCAAAAAATGATTTAAAAATTAAACTAGTATTTCAATGGCATCTTAAGAAATATAGAACTATATAAACTTATGTAATTTGAAATCAGCACGTACACTAGATTTGGCGCGCTGTTTAATGGGCGCGTTTGCTAGATTTGGCGCTTTTGCGCGTACATTTTCGCTGCAATTTTTTTACGGCCCTCGAAACCGAATAGTACCGTAATGACTTATATAATTCCAGCACCATTTGGCTAGAGGGTACTGCGTGCGTTCTACCAGCCAGTGGCAGGCAGGTTGCTAAAAGTGTAAGATGTGGAATGCAGAAATTCCTAATAATATATCCTCTACTATTTTATTTTATGATATTTTTCCTGTAAATAAATTTTTGTTGTTTTCTAAAGCCTCTTTGTTGCATCATGTCGGTGAATGTGGAATATCGGTACTAATTGATCATTCATTACTGGATTAAAATTCTGAAACATATATACAAACTCTGAGTTAATATGGATAAGCTTTCAAAAATAATTGAAAAGAGAAGTAACGTTTGTGCTAGTGTTACTAAACTAGTTAAAAGAGTACAAAAGCTTGATGAAGCTACCGAAAATATATGTTTATTATCAGAATTATTGGAACTGGTAGAGACAAAGGAAGAGATTTCGAAAACCTACGATGTAGAGGTGGAAACGTTTGTAGAAAATCCGAAAAAATAAAAATTTAAAAATGAATTAAAAGATTCGGAAGACTACGATGACAAAATATTGTCAGCTAAGATTAAACTAAAGAGCAGAATTAAAGAATTAAAAACTGGAAATGTTTAGTGGATTCTTCCAGTTCTTAATATATTTAGTATTTTGGGAAATACTGTTTACGGCTTTACAATTATTACCTAGTTAGAAATTTCACAATTCTCTGATGACTAAAGCAAATTTACGAAATTCTTAAAATTGTTTTGATAGCGCGATCGGCTCAAATAATTCTCTTACAAAACTTAAAAATTCCAGTGTTTAAAATTCTTTCTGGTCCTGCATATCATGTTGTTGTTGGTTTTTAATTAAATGAAAAAAGTATGAATCATCTCTTGAACTTTTAAAACAAAGATATGGTAGAACTGATTCTATTATAAATTCTTGCATGACTAAATTATTTGAACCCGTTCGAAGTTCATCTAATGTTAAGGGTTTGCGTAAATTATATGATGAAATAGAAGTTAATAAAGGAAATTTACGTTCATTAAATGTAATAGAAGGTTCATACGTGCACTTATTGAATCCTATATTATTGAAGTTGCTGTGACACGATTTTGTTTTAGATTTTCATTGAAAACAAAACAATGTGAATTTGTGAGGTTTGAGAAATTATTATGTTTTTGAGAAATGAGGTGAAATCTAGGGAAATTACTGAAACTGTGATGAGTCTGCCAAAAGTTAAGAGGCAAAATGATCTTTTTCTCAAAGTTATGAAAACAGTCAGAATTATCAAAAAGCTATTCAAAGCCTAAAAATATGTCAACTGCTTCAACATTAAATATACAAATTAAAAATGTTTATTTATTCTGTGATGGTCAAGACGATCCTGTAAGTTGTAAAAAGTTGGATATAGGGAAAAAAAAAAAAAAAAAAAATGAATAAGCAATTGACGTTGTGCAATAGGGATTGAAGGTAGGTGCTGGTTTTTAAAATACCACATCTTATGAATGTAAAGCAAAAATCGTGTGTAAAAAAAAAAAAAACAAAAAAAAAAAAAAAAAAAAAAAAAAAAAAAAAAAAAAAAAAAAAAAAAAAAAAAAAAAAAAAAAAAAAAAAAAAAAAAAAAAAAAAAAAAAAAAAAAAAAAAAAAAAAAAAAAAAAAAACAAAAAAAAAAAAAAAAAAAAAAAAAAAAAAAAAAAAAAAAAAAAAGAAAAAAAAAAAAAAAAAAAAAAAAAAAAAAAAAAAAAAAAAAAAAAAAAAAAAAAAAAAAAATAAAAAAAAAAAAAAGAAAAAAAAAAAAAAAAAAAAAAAAAAAAAAAATAAAAAAAAAAAAAAAAAAAAAAAAAAAAAAAAAAAAAAAAAATAAAAAAAAAAAAAAAAAAAAAAAAAAAAAAAAAAAAAAAAAAAAAAAAAAAAAAAAAAAAAAAAAAAAAAAAAAAAAAAAAAAAAAACAAAAAAAAAAAAAAAAACAAAAAAAAAAAAAAAAAAAAAAAAAAAAAAAAAAAAAAAAAAAAACAAAAAAAAAAAAAAAAAAAAAAAAAAAAAAAAAAAACAAAAAAAAAAAAAAAAAAAAAAAAAAAAAAAAAAAAAAAAAAAAAAAAAAAAAATAAAAAAAAAAAAAAAAAAAAAAAAAAAAAAAAAAAAAAAAAAAAAAAAAAAAAAAAAAAAAAAAAAAAAAAAAAAAAAAAAAAAAAAAAAAAAAAAAAAAAAAAAAAAAAAAAAAAAAAAAAAAAAAAAAAAAAAAAAAAAAAAAAAAAAAAAAAAAAAAAAAAGGTTTAAGCAAATATTATCACGAGTCAGTTTGTAGAAAACTGTGTTAGTGCTAGGATAAGGGCCTGTGAGAAGCAAGCAGAAAGCAAAACTATTTTGAGTGACTCATAGTCTAAATCTAATAAGAATATCAAAAATATTTCTGCATCTTATAGTAATGTTTGTATTAAAAATAAGGTTTTCTTACCAACATGTACAGTTTTAGCCTGTGCAGGTAAAAAATCGGTTTTAACTAATCTTATTTTAGACAATGCCAGTCATCGAAGTTTTATTTCATTTCGATTACTTAAAGAATTAAAAGCCAATCAAAAGCAATTAAATCGTTTCATTGACATTGTGTAATAGGGATCAAATTTTGAAATCGTATGAATTAGAAGGCTATCATAATGGAATATATATCTTATTTGTCCTTGAAAATTCCAAATGTATATTTGCAATGAGTTAAAAGAAAAAGGAATGGATTTAGGTCATTGTCAGCTCAGGCAAACATGAGACGTTCGCTGGGACGGGTACCTGCGTTTTACCACTAACCCAGTGTAACACGTTGTCGATTTTCAATTCCTTATATGTTACGAATAGTTCATTAAAGGAACACAATGTAACAGTTCATAAAAGTTGAGTGAGTCACAAGTAGCATAGTCTGTAAAATAGCGTAGAACACATATCAAGTCTAA